TACCAACACAGTTTTGGGCTCAAAGAGTACTCTTTACTTGTTGCTTATTCCAAAGCAATGTTTACTATGCATTTCTCTCAGTGAACATTAAAGTCATTATGTAAATCATTACATCAATTTTATTTAACATCTACAGAATTGTCTGAAAAACCAAAAAACTTTATTGAATTTTCAGGGAAGCAAACAGGGTTGATTCCTATTGCTCTTTTCATCACAGTAATAGAAAATTGGTGCTAACATTATTTTAACACAAAGTGTTTTGAACATTTAGCTCTGCTAATTTAGTATCAGATGAGGACAACTATTAACAATAAATACTGTAGATCAGTGCTAATCATTGGCATATACAATATTTATGGATATGTTAGCAGCCAAATAATTGAGGGGAAACTAACAAAAATTATGTCTTATATTTCAAAACTGATACCTTCAATTTGTTACTCAAAGTCTGTATTTCATCACTGGCTTCTGGGCATGCATGGCAGTGCTAGTTAACAAGCCCGTGTCAGCTTCAGGATTGAGGTGAATCCAAAATGTTATCTGTCCAAGTCATTTACATTAGAAACCAATGCTGTGGATGTGCAGTGATTCAACCAACAGGTCAGAGTCCCTTTGTGTTCCACCCATATGCTAATCCCATGGCTCTGGCTGATCTCGGGGTTTCTATCATTGCTCAGTTTTCCTGATGTTTGGCTCTGAATCACACAATCTGAAAGTACACGCATTTGTTGGTGTAGTGAAAAACAAACAGACATAAGCACACAGACACTGACATTAGATGCATTTATATCATAACTAATTCACAGCTGGATCTTGAAGTAAACAACACTTGCAATGCACACTAAGGTACAGACATACACACACACACACCGGAAGGGCACAGAGGGGAGCTATCTGTGAACCTGGATATGTCCTGAGTGGCGTATAAATATGGGCCCTCGTATGAGTGGGTGCATGTGAGATTGGTGCACCCAGCAGTGCACTGCTCTGTTCTCCTCGGACAGCAATAATTCCCTCCCTCTGGGGTTCAAGAGGTCACTGGATGGTGGGATGGAGCAAAGAGGAGAGTAAAAGAGAGGAGATGGGATTTAGAGATCAGCGCCTGTGGGCTAGGTATATAGAGCAAATGGGTCAGACGAGGGGTAACTGACGTCACTGCTGGGAGACAAAACATAGAGTGATGGTGAGAGAAAAGAAACAAGAGAGGGAATAAGCAAAGGCAGAGATAGAAAGACTGATCCATTGACTGAGACGGAGAAGAAATAGGCAAAGAAATATAGTATGAGAAACGTTCAATTATTTAAATCCTGTTGACTGCCGCCAAAAAAGCGCAGGGTAGAGCTCTGGAGAAGAAAACACAAAAAGACAGACATATATGATATGAATGGAGTGAATACAGATGGAGGAGAGGAGATGAAGAGATGTACGTGGAGATAGATGAGTAGCATAGTGAGGAGAAGTGAGTGAGAAAGAGAAATGCGAATGATGGTGTACAGCTGGCAGCCTGTCACAGTCTCCAAGGTGTCTCCTGTCACTGTGCTGGCCTGCTGTCACACTCTAGTGGCCTGCCCAGAGCACACACACACACACACACACACACACACCACACACACCACACCATACAGAGTACACTATGGTCATGAATAAACCATCCTAATCCATAGAGATTATACAGCAACTGGAGGAGGTGGGAGAGAGACAGACACAGAGAGGGAGCAAGAACTGATACTCAGGAATACTTTCCGAGAGTTAGTTAGTTTGCAGGCTGTCATGTGTTTTATAGTTTAGGGACTTGTGTACATTTAGGAACGTAAAGGTGCTGTGTGTGTATTCCTGTCACACTTACTGTGTAGTGGATATGGACCTATGAGAGACTATTTGGTCCTCATGAAGGCTCCATTAGATCACCCTGCCATCAGCTGAGTGCAGTGTTTTGTTTGAGTGTGTGAGTGCATGTGTTTGTTGTTTATGTGAAAGAGCAGACTGGCTTCCACTCTGTCTTGCAGAAGGCAGCAGGTGGTGGATTGCGCGAGCGCACACACACACACACCACACACACACAGATACACATCGCAAAGAAGGCCTTAAAAGAATCTCTCAGAGGTAAAGGGTAGAGCTGAGACCTGCTTGTCTTTACTCCCTCCGAGCACACTGTTAGCTTAATGGTTAGCTTTAGCACTTAGTGTTAGCCTCTAACTCACCACTTTAAAGGAACTTTTAGAACTTTGTTTCTGCATAATATTGGTGATGGGATTTAAGTAAACAAATGTACTATGCAACAATGTGTCTTGCTGTGTGTTGCATGGGTACATGTATGTTTTCATATCCAGCACAAATCCACAGCAGAGCAGCAGAGTGGGGGGAGAGTCAAATCTGTTTACATGTTGTTTCTCTGTCTGCCTTTACTTCAATGGCACCATTGATCGGCAGTCGAGCTGCTTGAAGTGATGATGCTATGCGTCAGAGGCAGCCGATGTGATGTGCCATCCTTTTGTCGTATCGCCCTTCTCTAATCCCAGCCAGCAGGCCCTGCCTTATGTGACTGCTGTTATGCCTGCGGTCCCACAGCACTGGGGTGTGTGGTGTGTGTATGTGTGTGCATTTATGCAAGAGTTTGTGTTCACATGTGTTGTTGCCTTGAAATCTATTCAAACCCGGCCTCCCTGCCTCCATTGGTGGTGATGGTGGAGGTGAAGGGGAATGGGGGCCCTTTGAAAGACACCCCTCGTTCCCCTCTATCCAGCCGCCTTCAGCCCACTGCTCCACAGCCCAGCTGACATCTTCCTTGAGACAGGCTGAATGAATTAAAGGAGATACAATGAGACACTTGATGTAGCAGTCAAGGAGCCCCGCAGCTTCTGTGCCTCTCTATACTGCACTGCCCTCAAGCCCAGGCTCAGAGGAGAGCACATCTAGGGCAAAGCAAAGGATCTAAAAATACACAATATGCCAGTATTTACCAAGATGACTTGTCATTTTCCCCCAACACTAAACTCCCCATCCTCCATCTCCCTCCATTCCGCTCATCTCTCTGCCGATCTTTTTCAACTTCTGGGTCCTCTTACGCTAGACCCTTCCGACTGCTGGTATTTTTGATTGACAGTGCTGAAAAATGAAATATAGAGGAAGAGAGTGAAGAGCTTTTCTACTATTTAAGAGATTGGTTCAGTTTAAACTTTGTTGATTTTTATTGTTTTGATTGGATAGGAATGGTTCGAACTCTTTATTTTAATAACTGACTTTTGGGGGGGGGGGGGGGGGGGGGGGGGTTCAACTGAATTTTGTTTACTTACTTGTTAATATTTTCTAAGGATTTGCGTAAATGGGACAGATGTTTCCTCATGATCATCTCTCGCAATGACTTTCTATTATTCTATAAGCTTACAGTAATTAAATCATCAATAAAAAAAGATGTTGTACACATCAAGCAGACTGTAACAGCAGACAAAGAGGGGCTCAATTAGGCATCAAGTATTTTCAGTGTCTCTGTGTACCTTTATATATTCATGCAGAAAAACACAAGAGCAGGGTGTGTGTTTGTATGGAGAGGTTTATTGGGGATAGCTAAGTAGAAGTGTGATGTGACCCTAGATATTTTGCATGTATGAAGTGTGTGTGTGTTTTTGGATGGGTTGAAATGGGCCTTGGGAGTCAGGGTTGCTGAGGACAAAAATGCGAAAGCACGTGTGCGTTTGTGTGTGTATTTGATTCTGAAGGGTTCACAACGCTACACATCTTCATGGGAGACCCCCTGCAATGCAATCACTGACCCACACACACAAGCGCGGGCACACACAAGCATGCGACACTGTAATGACTGTCAGAGGGCCAGGTGAAAGTAACAAGTGTAGATAAGCAGTGATTCAGAAGGACGCCAGCTGCACATTCTAATCTCTTTACATTTTCTCTTTCTTCTATTGACTTTTATCTTATCTGGGGAACGTCTTCTCCAAGCATTCCTTCCCAGCCTCCCTCTGTCCCTCTCTCCCTTTTCCCTTGTTTTTGTTCTAACCTTACAAGCCACTGCATACCAATCCACATTGCATGGTCAAAAGGGAAAACACACTTTGATATGTTGTCATCTGCCGACCCAGAGAAAGAAAACTCAAAAGCATGGAAAAAGTATGTTGTTTTGTAGTATGGCATTGATACATTTCATTTTGTACATTAGGTTTGACTTTATGTTTGAAATAACCAAGTAGGAAGAAAGAGGGAGAGTCCACAGACAGGAAGATAAAGACAGCAAAAACCGGATAAAGAGGTCTTCTCCTCTTTCTGACAGTAGAGTTGTCAACCACAGGGGTTTGAGAGGACTAGGGGTGTTTGCAGGGGTTATGGGTCAGCAAACTGGGCAGACACCCTCCCCCAGGGCACCCACTGATCTACCATGGTAGAAGGCCTCAGCTCCCACCACAAACAAACGCCAAGCTGTCTGAGCAACATGTCACAGAGCTTTTAATTGCTTGTTCCTGTCTCTCTTTCTTTCTCTCTCCCCCACCTTGCTCAGCCATCACACACCTCTTGCTCGCTTATTGTCTCTCTCCTTGTCCTCCGCACCTGTCCCCCATTTCTTTTTCTCCCTTGCCTCCCTATTTGTGCTCCCTTCTCCCTTTCATTCTCAATGTTTATTTTTTTAGCTTTTTTCTTTCTAATATTTATTTAAATTTAGCTTGTTATATTTCCTTTCTTTCCTACTCTCAAAGCATCAAGATAAAAGACGTATGTTTTTTCATCAGATACTTTACCATACCCCCTTATTTGGAGAAGCAACATACAGCTATGACGAGAAATCTGTTCTTAGAATTTTCGATTGTAAAACTCTCTTTTGCTCTCCTTACAGCACTGTTGCAACTGGGTATCGAGTCCAGAGCCCCTGACACACGCCTGGATCCCATGCTGCCAGACTGCCCACGAGTGTCTGCAGGTATCAAGCCAAATGTGTAAACACACACTCTAACATCAATAACATAACCAAAGATCTACTTACCTCATAATCTGATATCGCCTTACATTTCCAAATACAAGTACTGGCACACTTGTTATAGTTTAAAATCTAACATATCTTTGCATGCAGGCAATAGGCACTATGTCAGTGTCAAGGCAAGTGTTTATTCTACATTCAAAGGTGACACATTCGGGGTTGCATTGTGAGTAGTATGGTTGGTAGCTGCAGTTAGAAACTGGAAGTAGCAGTGGTTCACAACCAGTGATACAGTAATAATAATTTTTTAAAAAGGGTTATGTAAGAGTTTGACTGGGATGTTCTCAGTCATGAATATACTGAAAAATCAATTAAATGTTCATTATTCATTACTACAGATTCCTTCAATGTAGCCTAACAGTGGGAGTAATCTCTATCAGTGGCAGGTTATCTTAAACACAGATACTCACAGAAACAGAGGCTTTCTCACACGCGCTACAGAAATGTGCAGTTTGATTTTGTTCTATTTTCGTCATCTTTCTTTTTCATCATCTAGTGTGTCTCCTATATTCATTAATCCTCTCCTGTGGTGTTTGGCTTCCTGTCCCTGTGCCCTCTCTGTGGTTGACTGGCCTTGATGATGTCACGGCCATCATGAGAATGTGTCCTTAATGTAGGATTAGGGATGAAAGCTGTAATCCTCAACATGACCGTTGATAAGAGATGATGATTGCAGTGTTGTTTGAAGAGTGACACACATGCAGGCATACATCCACAGGCACGCACAGACAGAAAAAAAAGGAAAGCGAAGCCTTGAACAGGAAATAATATATCTGTCATAAGTATTAAATGCACCTGTTTTTACTTTGTGTTTATTTAAGCATTAATTGTTACATGTGTATGCACATGCAAACACACTTGCACACGCATGTTCTCACATCTTTGTCTCATCGCTCATTTCCATCATCACTCTGAAAGTCCTGCTTTGCAATTTCATTCTCCTCAAAGCCCCTCAGTGACATCATAGTGAATGTATAGGTCATCTTACACATGCTCCACATGTCAGTGAATACATCTCTAACACCACTATCTCATCTTGGGCACTAAAACACCATGTTCCACATGGACCTGTGTGGGTGGGTGGCCTTAACATCTACCAGTGAATCAGCACCTAGAAATGTCATCTAGCCATTAATACAAAACCAATACTGTATTTTATGTTCAAATGTCAAGGTTTTTTTTACCTTGATGTTTTATGTCTCTTCTCAGTGACAGAAGTCAGTAAAAAGACAGCAACCTTTGAGCCAAGATATCGAGGTCTACTTTTTGAAACTGTTGGCATGCCTGACAATGTCCTAACACAGACCTGTTTGACACAGTGTCCATCTGTATGTATGCACTATTGACTTGTGCTCTATTGACTTTTGCTACTCTAACCACCTGAATAGATCTGACTCTCTGGCCCGTTAACAGAGCTGCCAACTCTGCTTGTCTCTGGTTTTTTGGTGGTGGCTTCTGATGTCAAAGGTTGTCTCAGTCATCTTTGTGTCCTTGGCAGCCTGGCAGGTTCACAGGCAGCAGCCATTGTGGTGAGAGTCACAGCAGAGCAACAGAGGTGACGAGGTTGAGAGAAGGTTGAGGGAAGGCTGTCAGGGCATCGTGGCCCAGCCCTTCAGTCAACTCACATACAGCTCCCAGCAGTCACCTCTTCTGCTACCATGACTGCTGTTGTCTGGGTTGCTATGGTAAGAATATCTCTGTGTGTGTGTGTGTGTGTGTGTGTGTGTGTGTGTAGGTGGCTGACCAAGTGTCTCAGCAACACAGAACAGACCGGTGAATCCTTGTTGTCATGCACACACACACACACGCACATATGCAGACACATTCATCACAGTGTGAAACACCGCTCACTCTTGTGTGGAGCCAGACTGAGCCAGGCCCGGGGCGACTCAGCTGCTGTGGAGAATGGCATGTGATCAGACACGCACACACACTAAGATGTCTGAAGGCTAACAAAGTATTGGATGTGTGCTTACATATGGGCACTGGGACTGGTCAGGCAGCATGATAGGAGAAATGGGTGAAGGATGAGTTTTGCCGTTGGTCTTTTTCTGTCTTTATGTCTGTTCTTCTCTCTCTCTCTCTCTCTCTCTCTCCTTACTCTTCTTCTGTTTTTGACTTCCTCTGTACATCTCCCTTTCCCCTCCTCCGCTTGTGTTCTGCTTCCCTGTGTGGTGCAGTGATGATATGATGATTGTGTTTTCCATGCTGGTAGACTCTTGGCAGAAGGAGGTAGGGAGAAGTGGAGGCAGAGCTTGTCTGTTATTCCTAATCATCTGTGAAGCAATGCCGGTATACCAGCATGGCACTCTGACGGGGCGGGAAGGACCCAGAGAAGGAGGGAGAATAACATGTAGCGGGGGTGTCCACTAACATCTCCATTTCTTGTTTTAAATGTTTTAAATAAAACCTGGACCCATTCCCTTCGCATTTGACTGGCTAGCTTCCCTCCTTTTAATTTTTTTTATCCTCATTTTTCTTCCTTTCACTGTATTCTTTTTTTCCATCTTGCAAAAGGAATTTGTTCCCCCAAGAAGGTCAGTGCTCTGGCGTTTGGCAGTGTCCTGGCACACTATCAGAATTTTATCAGTTAGGAGCACGCTGAACACAGGCTAAATATGCAGATAAAGTGGAACCAATCTCCTGCTGGAAAAGCTCCCTTTGTGCGTGTGTCTGTGTGTGTTTGTACAGCTATCTTTGTGAGGACAAGCAAGGGTTTTTAACCTTTGGAGTGAGGACCATTTTGCAAAGTGAGGACATTTAGGCCGGTCCTCACTTTATTTTCACTGTAATGGCCTCCAGAGTCTGTTTATATGCTTCTCTCAAAGTTTCAGAGAGGTCCTCAAAAAGATGCCAAAATCGAAAATGTGTGTGGATTTTCGGTGTGTGTACGTACTCTGAATACACACACTTTTTGCTCTCTATCGCCCTCTATTGACATAACCGATTTATTGCACAGGAGCAACTTTAACTAGAGAAAGACATGTCTCATGGTTTTTTAGGTAAAATAAAATACATATTATGAAATTTCATTTTGTTTTATTTTACTATCCCTTAGTTTTTAAATATTTAACAAGGTTATAATGTGTTTAACTCACTTATAACATTAAACTACTGTTTAATAGTAACATTAAACTGTAGAAGGATTTTCAGACTGCATGAGATCTATACAACGAAGGTTAAAATGAAGGGCAACTGGACTTGGTTGAAGCTTCAACCAAGTCTAGTTGCCCTTCATTTTAACCTTCGTTGGATAACTATGACCTGGATGACTGAGAATCTTCATAGACATCTGCATGAGATCTACTTTAAATATAAAATGCTCAATTTTTAAATTCCAAATTGATTTCCTCTTTGTGTATTGCCCATTAGTGAGAAATGTCTGTTATAAAGACATCATCACTTTTTTGCTGTAAGATGTTTCTTCCAATGCAGCAGCTTGTTATATAAATTTCACTTTTTATTGTAAGCCAGTCAGATGTGTATTGAGTTGAAACACATTTGTGACATGTCCCTGCTGAGTTGTAAGTTGCAAAAAATCCTGGTGATTTTGATACCCTCAGAGGATAATATTTTTTTGCATATTTCTACTCCTAGTAAGTACTTATTTGTTATCAAAATGTAAGTAATTTGTGTTTTGAGTAAGATATATGTTATAGAATATCAATTGAATTAAAATATTGTTTCTTTTTAAATAAAAATATGAGTTTAAGCATGACACCTGCATCATCAATGCAGTAGCTGTATATTATGGTTCATTGCTGCAACACATCCTCATACCTAAATGACAAAATAGGTTTATTGTCAAGTGTCCCAAAATTACATACTGTATATGGCTGTTGGAAAGTCAAACGACACATTTGACTGTAACCCACAACAATACACATGCACATTTCCAGTATCAGCACAGAGAGGCTGCTGATCGGCCGGTGTCGTGCCAAGGTAGGTACCACAGATAGAAGGCGTTCCCCCGAAGTTGGAGCGCATGCATTCAGCTGTGAAGGAACTTCGAGTTCAACAAAGTAACTGATAAATATAACATGTAGATTGTTTATTTATCCTTTTAGTATTGTTGTTTTATCAAAAAGGTTTTGCAAAGCAAGCTAATGCATGGCTTCCAGATTTACATTTACATTATGTTGAACTTTATATTTATCTTATAGCAAAATTTTTTTGCAATAGTCTGACAATGATAAAACTGACCACGGATTTAATCACTTGCTCATCATCCATGTTACTGTTTGGAAGCTAGAACTAGACCCTAAAATGTGACACTGTAAAATCAAAATAACTGGAATCAGATTAACATCTGTGCATTATAGAGGGCGGATACGTTTTATGGCAGAATGCATGTCCAGCCTGGAGGACCAGTACTGTAATCGCTTTGTGTGTATGAAAATTTATTTGCAATGCAATATTAAATGATTACGATACTAATCCCCTTCCCCTTTAAGGAGGGGGATTCTGAATAGTTTCCAATAATATCTAAAGGCTATCATTTGCAATGGAAACGTGGATTACAAGGACAAAATATTGTCTACAATGCTGCATTCATGTGTTTGCTGATCAACTAATTATTACTGTGATCTTGATTTTACAGTGTTGACTCCGTAGCTATTGGTAGGAGCATCTTCCTTAGAAAAGATTCATAAGGTCATAATGTGACTCATTGCCTTTACTGTACGCATACCGATCATGCTTACTGTCGCGCAAAGTATAGATAAACGTGGTCATTAGACATTTTTATTGTTTTTATTGTGGGCCTACAAAACCTCTGAGGCTCAGGCCTAACTGCAGGTTAATGCAGGCCTGCAAACAGTAACATGGATGACCAAGTGATCGACTCCATGGTCAGTTATAACATCGTCAGACTATACACTGAATTTATTTTTATACTTTTAAGTATTATTACTGTATTTTTAACTGTTTCCAACTGTATAAGCGGTGGACAGTATGTTACTGTAGATTTTCAATGCATTCTGGGAAAATATTACTCTAAATCTAAATACAGTAATATTAACAGACCGCGAAAACCACCACAAACCTCCATTTTGAAATGAAGGACTGTCATCGATTTGAGAATGTTTAGTTTGACACCAGATCTCAATTTTCCTTGCAGCTTTGACATTAGACTGTTCAGGACTGGACTGGATGCAATACGTTAGCGCTGATATTTTATGTGACATTTTACACAGTTGTAGCTCTGAATGTGGTGAGTGCAGTTCACTTGTATAAGACCAAATTTAACGTTACAAGAGGCTGTTGAGGGATTGCTGTGTCTGTCTGCTGACCCGGCAGCTGCTTCATAATTAATATCTGATAAGTGGTGAATCTTGAAACAAAAATTGCAGTAACATAACGTTAAGTTAATTGAACTTTCTATTTTATTTAATGGAGCTGTAAGTTTGGGTGTGGAATTAATGTTAACATTAAAGGGGCATTATGGAATTTCCAGCGGCCACTCATGTTGCGGTTTTAAGATTGCAACCAGGCGTGCGCTCGTACACGTGCTCGCTTGAACTCATGAGCGAATAGAATCCAAAACACAAATCACTTTCATAGAGAGATCTCGCAATAAACACAGAAACACCTCACCTAACCTTATCCCCAACCAGGTTTTTACTAGTCTATATGGCCAGTTATAGCTTCTCCAAAGAAGTAAGTATTTTCAGAGAAATCCATTTATACATTGATTGCTGACTGCCTACAACATTGTTAGACTCTCAACTTTAAAACAGATCTATTTATATGTATTAATATATACACACCTTGAGAAAAACACCACCTACTTCAGAATCCTGATTGTGGATTTCAGCTCAGCGTTCAACACAATGTCCCCTAAGAAAATGATCAGCAAACTCAGCACTCTGGGTTTAAATACAACACTCTGCAACTGGATAGTGGACTTCTCACGAACGGGCCCCAGTCAGTTCGGATTGGCGGACTCACCTCCACAACTCTAGTGCTCAACACGGGAGCCCCCCAGGGCTGTGTGCTCAACCCCCTCCTGTTCACGCTGTACACCCACGACTGCATCCCCCGACATGGATGAGACTTCATATGGGGAGGAAATTCATAATCTTGTAGAGTGGTGCTCAGAGAACAACCTACCGCTCAACGTCAGCAAAACCAAGGAGCTGCTCATTGATTTTAGGAAGAAGGAGATAAAGACACACACTCCTGTCGGCATCAGTAGAGCTGAGGTGGAGCAGGTGAATAGTTTCAAGATCCTGGGAATCGGCATCACAGAGAACCTGACATGGTCGTCTCACATCTCCACGCTGGTGAAGAAAGCTAAGATACGACTGGATTTCTTGAGGAAGCTTAAGAAGACCAAATTCCCACGCCAAGTCCTTGTCAGCTTTTACAGGGGAGCAACAGAATGCATCCAGACTGGAAACGTCACTAACATGGGATGTGCACAGCCCAGGACCGGAGAGTTCTGCAGCGGGTGATTAAAACACTCAGAAGATCAACAGAAGATCATTGGTACCCATCTCCCGAGCATCAGTGATATCAGTGAGGTGAGGTGCCTGCAGAGCCCAAAGGATACTAAAGGACAGTTCCCACCTAGCCACAGCCTGTTCACCCTGCTGCCTTCTGGGAAGAGATATAGAAGTTTCTGCTGCTGCACCACCAGATTGCAGAGCAGCTTTCCCCCCCAAACTATCAGACTCTTAAACTCTAGTTCATCCTCAGCACTGCTCCAGTGATGATAGTTTATTTCTGTTGCCATTTTTATAATTAATTGTTTCCTGTCTGCTATGTAGCAGAAGGGAGTTATAAAACTCAATTTCACTCTACAACTTGTTATATTGTGAAAATAAAACCTACCTACCTACCTAAATGTTTGCTTTACTGAGAGAAAAAATGTGGTTTCTTGTTTATACATTCTTGATTCAATAACACATAATGTTAGCCTACAGAAGGCAGAAGCCATATGTTAGCTTGCTTTGCAAAACCTTGTTGATAAAACAACAATACTGAAAGGATAGATTAAACAATCCACGTTATATTTTTCATCTACTTTGGTGAACTCGAAGCTCCGCTGTCACCACTGAATGCTTACACTCCCGCAGGCAGGAAATACTTCCTTTCAGTGGTAACTAACGTTAACTTTGCACAACATCTGTCAGCTACTGAACCCAGTAGGTTATAGACAGTACCTGGCACACAGGTAATACATGTGCTGAAACTAAACAACAGTGACACAATAAACAATATGTGCATATATTGGTGCATTGTTGGGCGGCACGGTGGGCCAGTGGATAGCACTGATCTCACCCCGGTTGCAGCACTGAAAAACAAATGTGAACTAATAAAGCTGACTCTGCGCGAATTAACCCAGCAGATGCGACACCGGCTTACACAGGGATAGTAATAAAGTCAGTCTTGCGCAGAGGTGGACGGCCCCGCCTCACTGTCGTGTCAAATGAGAGGATGAAGAGGGACTATCCTTCTAGGCACGAGAAGAGAAAGAAGCTCAGTGAGAGTGAAGTGCAGGAACAGCAGGCAGGTAAACTTGTGTTCGCTCCTCTCAGAGTCTGATGTCAGCAGGTAACAGTAACAGTAGCCTAATGTTCAGTTAATGTGTAGCTGCTGTGAATTTCTGTCTGTCTGTCCTGCTAACCAGCTGAGAAGCGCAGCTCTTGTCTGTCGTGTCTTGGTTTCTTGCCAGACTGTGACAGAACAATGTTGAGTAAAAATACAACTATTTATTATGTTTGATAGACGCAGACGGGCCACAGTGTTTATAAACTGCAGCTCGGAAAAGATGACCGCATTGCACGTGGAAATGCGTTCATATTCACGGCCTAAAAAATTTTATTCACGCATTCCAGCAATAAACATCTGTGAACCAGTCCAGACAGGATGTGAGGGCACTCCTCATACATCATTTTAAAACAAGACAGTGAAGTTTATTTCCAACTCTGGACTAATGCAAGATGGGAAGCAGTGGATTTGCATTACATTGACAAGGGCTTTGCTTAAGTTTGTCAGTGGAGTAAATTTGGGATCATCAGCCAGTACAAGAACAGACTCCAGCCAGTCAGCCCAGCTGATCCACATCCGGCCTCAGTCAGTGCGAGCACAGACCCGGTCCGGACGTCTTTAGCGGGTCCCACAGACCCAGGTGAAACACAGGCAGCCTCAGACATTACCAGCGCAGCCAGAGATGAACAGCCAGCATCAGACCCTAACGGAACAGTTGCTGCTTCACCAAATGACCCGGCAGACTGGCCCCCGGTCTTAACAGACTTCATGAGGACTGAGTTAGTGCGCAGAGGTCTGTTCAAAGCAGCTCTGGACTTTTCTAGAAGAGGTTTCTATTCAGGCTAATTAAAGAGGGAGGACTGTAGTGAGAGCATTGTTGTGTCAGGTGTGACTGTGCAGCAGCTCTGTTTTTGTCTGTGGCCGAGTGCTAACGTAGCTGCTAGAGCTTTGCAATATAAACATGTGAAAACTGAAGCCAACCTCGCTCTGTGTGGGACTGTGAGTTGCACTTTATCAGAGGTGCAGACGTTAACATGTGGATTTTTGATGAGATTGTGAATTGAGAAGTGTTTCAGTTAGTTTTGACCTCCTTGTCCAACACAACCCGTGCACATGCCCAAAGTCCAAAATGAGGTCGGTCTGAAGGGGGAAACTACTACAAGAGCAGAACACAGGCTAATCCTCCCACAGTATAGGAAATATCCACTTGTACTCTTCCTTATTGTGATTCACTGTAACTTATAATGCTGTCTGGAGTGAATTTAAAAATAATACTGTGTATAGATTTTGATGTGTAGTACTTTTGATTACTTAAGTATATTTTAAAACCAGGTACTTTTTTACTTTTACTTGAGTAACTTTTTTATGTGGTATCTGCATTTTTACTTAAGTAGGAAAATCGAGTACTTCTTCCACCACTGTATTTACAGCAATAAGCCAAAATATTACATTCAGGCATCATGCCCACAACATGGGACTTACATAAGTTTGCATTAAGTTAGTCAACTCTTATAATTTCACAGCACAAACGCCCACTTGCTCATCACTCTCTCAAGATAATTAATCAACATCCAACACTACGGAATAACGTTAATAAAAACACATGCTTACCTTTCTGTTAATTAAACATCTATATAGCCTCAGCATCCTCTCCCCTGCTTCTTGTTCTGGCAGCTCCGTGTCCATTTAAATAAAGCACTTTTAAATCATCTATTAACTTTCTCCTCCACCAGTATCTCTCCCTGATTTAAAGTTCTGTCCATCATCCTGTCCGGTCCTCACGCTGCTCACGTCTGCTTGCAGGTGCAGCTGCGCGTTAGCATCGCTGCTAACGTAACTTTAACCTTCACTAGCTTTGCTTTGCTCCGAATTTGATTGTTTTATGGCGATTTAATAAGTTAATAAGCTCATGTGCACAAAACGCCAAAGCTTCAATTGATTAACGTATCTCTCTCTCCCCCCCTCTCGCTCCCCCTCCCTCTCTCGGTCCACGTAAGTGGACTGGGCGCGTTCCATTTCTGTTTGGGCCGTCTGCCGTAAGATGGCTTGATTCCATTTCAAATTTCTGCCAGTCGGCCGTGAAATGAATCCAAAGGCCACTATTTCTGTTGAGAAAGGGTGTTTTACAGCCTGTGATTGTAAAATATGATGGTGCTCATTTAATTGTATATTTCTAACAATATCTGGCTGAGGATATTTACTTATAAAATCACTTTTGCTAAGAGAAGGGGTCATCAAACTGGACTTTTATTCCCTTATGTAATCCCTGCACTTGTCACATATACCATATATATATATATATATACATACATATATATCACATATCATCAGAATGGGCTTTTTATTGTGCATTCAGCCCCCACGTCACATTTCATTTCTTATCTTTATATATTTTCTACACATAATTTATTTGTCCATAGCAAATCCTATAATTAATTTGTAATGTCAATATTTCATTTCTGTTTTATTTCCCATTTAAAAATAATTTATTCTGTATCTCATTGTTATTACCTTTTATTATTTTTATTATTCTGTGTTATGCTTACTCTAGCTAACAGAACAGATTATAATTGTCATGCTGATATAAAATCTTAAAACCAAGAATAAATACATTTACAAACCCATCTTCAGGGTTGTGTAATAGTAGTCTATGCAGTATTGGATGACCTGTAAATAAGAATGAGTTGGTCTTTTTAGCCATAACCCAAGCACTTCAGGCCTTCTTTCAAGCCTCAGATTCGTGCATCTATCAGACCTGTTTTTTTGCTGAGCTATTGAGCTAGGCTAATGAATTCTGATCTGTGAAACCTAAATGTCTCTTAAGGAAAAATGTAATGAAGCCAAGATCTATCTAAAGCAAGTAATCCCAGGGTAAGAGAAGAACAGCAGAAAATAAATCTAAAATTGAGAGTTGTCTGTAGAGACCAGCAAAAAAAAGAGTCAACTGTAAAGTAATAATTTGATCTGTGATCTTTTTTATGGTAACCAGACACAGCTTGGTGACAGCTTACATAGGGAGCTAGGAGAGGAGGGGAAAGTTTATTTTCAGGAACATGATTTGAAAAATTTGACCTAAATGATTTATGAATTTAGTTTTTCCAACACACAGACTACTTTGTGTTAATTCACCTCAGCTGTCTCCACACTGGCCCTGCTCACAATATTTACACATGTGGTTACAGCACTGTGACCTGAGAGGGAACATGAAAACTTAAATATACATGCTTTTGGAGGACAGTGCTTGGACAGATATTGCTACTGTGTTTAACAAATAAATGTTGTTTCTTGTAACCTCTTATTCATTAAAACACACACATACAATAGATGGTGAAAGCGTGCACAGCTTTAGTTGCCTCAGCAGCTACAGGGCAGGGATACAGTAGGCCCAGAGGGTGTGATGTTCAGGGAGCCACTGGAGTGAGCGGCAGCTCCACCTGTATTTGGACAGATCTAACTTTGGCAGCACTTTGGACAGCTGGTCACCAACCTGTTTGACTCCAAGGAGAATCCTCAGTGTCCTGTCTGGTGTTCCTGGCTATGCTACTGAATGGGACAAGATAGAAGACCTCAGCCTGTCAAATACTATGGTAGTCACTGAGCAGCCTCCACAGCCACATCACGCAGCTCGGTCACACGGACATGACCTCTCTCCTGGGCCCTCTTTGCTCTCCTAGTTCCTCAGTGGTACCTGTAGCTGGTCTTAGAGACTCTGTGCCTACACAATAACTCACCAAAGGAAAATTATGGCCTGCATACTAATGACTAATGACACTAAGGATTGCCTTCGTTCCTTAAAAATGGTTTTAGAGAGCAGGGAGAGTTTTACAACAATCATTTTTGGAGAAAATCTTTACTATGATCCAGGATCATGTCCTGTTTTACATAAGATATAAAAACATGTCAGTCACTGAAATGGCAGCTCAGGTACATTTATAATGGCACCCACCTCCACCCTCCCAACCAAAATGATTCACATTTGTTACTTTGTAGATTATTTGATTACATTGCAGGTGCTTGCACAGAGAAAAGCAAAATCCAAGAAGAGATATAGGTGTTTCTTTAATTTCTCCTCAATAGAAAATATTTACTTTTATACTAAGGTGAGACCAAAGGATTTTTTCTCCTACGTCTTAAATTCAACTCAGGAGAAACAACCACATATCATCTCATTTATATCTTCCTCAATCAAAACAAGAGATCTCTAACTGATCTTGAATAAGTCTAATTTAATTTAAGTACCCTGAACATTGCACCATATGAGACCAGAGAAAGAGCCAAAGAAACCTCACATATGATTCCTGTAAATGTTAAGTATTTTCATTTTAGGGGCTTTATACTTTTGCTCCCCTACATTTTTAAATCCTGTATTGTATTTATTGCTGTTTATCTGAACCCTATAAAGTTACTGAGATGAAGAAAAATAATTATTTGTCAATGAAAATATTGCACAACTTTGTTACAGCCAGCATAACTGGAACACCAACCACTGATGTTTGGAGATTAATTCATTAAGGACAGAATGCATGCATGAACTGAGGTACTACAATGTCATACAGAATGAGCACTTTTACTTTTGATACTTAAGTATATTCACTATGACTATGGAATACTTTTATACCTTTTTGAGGACTTGTGATAAATATCTATTTCTACTTTTCTTGAGTAAGGGACCATTGTACTATATTTAAAGTAACTATCAGCTGGATGGTGCACTGGAAAAGTTGTTGCACTTAAAACAGAAGGTACAGTATTCAAAATGTGCTCAGGGCATCCTTTTTTATCTCCTGAGGACAAAAAAGAGCCATTAATAAGACTGAGCAAAGCATCTCCCTCAAGTCTCTTCCTATGATGTCTTAGCCAGAACCTGGGCAAATGTGGAGGGAACACAGACAGTTCTCCTGACAGTGTTGAGGTCCCCCTTAAACCTCCGCTGCCCCATATACAAATACACACAAAGTGGCCTGTACAGTTCCACAGATTCAAGACTCTCTAAAACCACCATTTTTCTTTATACGTCTAAAATTGTATAGATTTTGTTACTAGCTGCATTTCAGATTTAGATGAATAAAATACAGTCAACAATTAAATTACGGTGTTTGCTTATGGTACTTTTATACTTTTAGTTAAGTAAAATTTTAAATATATGAAATTTTACTTCTAACAGTATGTAAAGCCTGGTGTTTCTACTGTCACTGATAAATGTGTTTCTTGCTTTATTTTAAACACTGTAGCCTGTAACACAGGCCTCTGTGTCAGAGCTGAGAAGTGGAGAATATTGTGGTGACTTTGCAGCCTCTCGGCTCAGGCTTAATTAATGGGCCATCAGCGGAGGGACACGCCCCCCTGCACCTGGAACTTTCCCCCCTCCCCCAACCTTTCAGCAGCGCAGCAGAGAGGAGCAGAAGAAAACAGAGCGTGGCCGGAGTTTGGAGAGATTTGTTAGCAGGAGTTTGGAGAGATTTGTTTGAAAAATTTAAAGACGAAGACTTCATCTTAACCGACGCAAGAGGCAATTTCAGAGCAGGTAAGATTTATAGATATTTCTGCTTCTTGTCAAATGATGTTAATGTGCAATATTATTTTGAATGGAAGAAAACAGCAAGCTCTAACTTTAATTGAGTGGCTCCAGAACCGCTCCAGTCAGATCTCCAGCACACAATTGATAGGTACATGGTTTAACATGATGGCAGAAGTGCATATTTAATGGATTTAGTGCAGATGCAACAGAATAGTGCTGTTAAATTGTAAATATTTTTTTCTGTGTAAATAACAATACACTTATAGGCTACTGTGCATGAGGCCGTATTTGCTTTGCGACAAATCCCAGTCTGTTTTTTCTGCTGCCACAGCTGCTTTTAACTCCCCTGTTACTGTCAGTAACAATTCCACCTCGTGTTAGATCCATGCAGAACTATCTCTGGTGTGGTTTTTAGTCTGTAGTAGTACCTTCTTCTTTTAACAAATCTTCTACTAATGCGAAGTAGACAATGTGCTTCCTGTTTATACCGGCACGCGCATGCTCAGTGTAGGCTATGTGGACGGCCACTTCACGTATTCAGAGACAGAGATCCATTCTGTTATGCAGATAAAATGCTGCTGGGGACGGAGATCGTTTTTGGTTTAAATCTCCTTTTAAACAGAAACGTAGTAGTGCGGATGTGGCCCAAGACAGGTGAGCCAACATTACACCTGAGAGAGGACACTGAAGTAGATGTAACACAGTCTCTTTTTATTATTATTTTGATCCCAAAGCAGCTCTGTTCTCATGGCTTATTGTGTGAAAATTAAATATTTATCAGCTACTACTTGATTGATTTAGTACCCTTTCCTATTGCCTGTCTCACTCCCACCTCTGTGACTGTCTGTTTAGTTAGTGGAGGGAAAGCTTCTGACAGGGAGAGCTGAATAACAGTTGCCACCATAAAAAGAAGAAAACGTGATGTTTCCTGACAACAGTTTGTTTATAAAATTAGGTAAAATCTGCCCGCAGCCTGCAACGGATTTTCAAAAAGTAACACTTACTTTATAAAGTACACCTGTAAAGTCTTATACAATCCATTACAACAGTGCTGCCACAAAGTCTACTTTAATGATGCCTTTAATCAGTTTTCTTTTTTGACACAGTCATATAGGTGTTAAGTGAATTAAATTTTTTAGCACTGAGGTCATAGTTGGTGAAAATGTTGTACTGGACTACATCATATTCAGATGTGTTTAATATTCCGCCCTACTCATATATATAAACAGGGAGAGCAAAATCACCTTTCAGTGTAACAACACCTTGAACTATAGGCTTAGTAATAAACAGAACTGAATTTACACATTCCTGACAAAATGGTCAGAAACTGAACCTGTTGTACAGAATTGCAGTAGATTGTACAGGTGTCCTGAATAGTCGCTACTGAGTATAAAGCAGTATCTGGAAACAAAGCACAAATGGCACATTGTCTCACTGGAGACTTGAGACGTAACCTCGTATTTATGACAGGGTGTCCAATTCACTTAAAACATGTGTTTATTCTCTCTCTCTCACTGTGTAGAGAGATGTATTATATGATATGAAATGCAGCAGTACTGTATCACTTAATATTACTACTACACATTGTTATTTTTATATTTTGTTCAGAGTATAACATGACATCATTTTCATTATTCTCATTGGTGTTAGGTCCAGGAAGAGATCGCTATGAGTCAAACACAGGTATGTGCCTTTACAAACTCTTTACTCCATCCTGACACTGACTTCTTTCTTCACTGTAAAAGTAGTAGTAGTTGTGATTCAGCGTTAAAGCTGACATTTTTAAATGAAACAATATCAGCTGCAGACCGATAATATAAACAGGAATTTAGGGCTCGGGCAATTCGTCAACATAGTCGATCCAGTGTTGGCAGGATTCCCCCGGACAAGCTCCAGCTACAAGACCGTGCCTTCGACCATCTAAAGTTTGGAAGTATTTTAGACAGACAGTCTCTGTGATCTGAGAAAAGCTTCACTGCAGCACAACTGTCCACGAATACGTGAAGCAGCATGAACACGTGAGCGAAAGTATCCTGGAGCACTGACGGCAGCACCGCAAATCCTATTTACTTTCTGTCGCCACACGAGCATGGCACATCATCAGCACAAGGACACGTAGTATTTCTTAATCGCTTTCATGTTAAAAGTAATTTTTGCCCCGCTGCTGTCATTGTAGCATAACGTTACACCTCAAGACATCGAACGTTCGGCCGTTTCATATTTTCTGTTTTAATTAACGGCCACATATGAGCGAGAAAACAGCTGAAACTAACATTACAGACGATCTGTGACTGTCTGTACAGTCTGTGAATCCTTTCAATTGTTTTCTTTGCCCGACACTGATGCAGAAATACATTTGATTATCATACTGCAGTACTCAATATTGAAATTAATCCATGTCAAAAACATTAAAAGTTTTAAGTAAAGTAGCCTAATAATTAATGTCTGTTATTGTTGTTATCACAACACATCAATGGCGTGGAAATTTGATTCATTTTAAGATTTGCTGCTATTCTTATTTTATATATATATATATATATATACACACACATTATTCTAATGTGCTTCATCAGGATGATTAAAATATAGATTTATTTATTAGGAATGTTTTTGATATTTATTTTGGATAAATTGGTATGTTAATCGAGTAATAGGCAACTTTTTTCCTTTTAGAATACAGAAAATTAGTCGTTAGATTAATTGGGTAATTGAAAAAATAATCGTTTGATTAATTGACTTGAAAAATAATCGTTACGTACAGCCCTAATCAGAAATTGAATATCTGCAGGCTTAGAAGTTGTGATTATTTTACAGTACTTAATCTTAACGCTGTTCCTGAACTTTAGCTGCCAGTAATCTTACTGCTAACATCAGGCGAGATGGATTTATATAGCCTGCAGTGGAAAAGCTACATTTTACAAGGGGTTGGGGTAAACAGCTGACTGAATGGGATATTGCTCAGCACTGGGGATGTAGCGATTGCTGGATTTCACTATTAACCGTGCTTTAAAACGTCACGGTTAATTAATCAGCGTTTCCCACACATAGGGTTTACTTGGGCGGGCCGTCCAGGTAGATTAACAGCTGCCCAAGTAAATTTGGCGACCCATTTTACAATTGTTTTAAAATAAGTAAGTAAAGGTAATACATAATAACTTATTTAAATAATGTGGCAGGTTGTTGGGGAATTAAATATAATTGTGACACTTACAATCAATGCTGTCGCACTGAGATCGAGCTTTCAGTACAACATAAACAAACAAAGCAGGTGTAACCGACAGCACCGCTGCGCTATGAGGCCTATTTTCAATGGCTTGTGCCACGCCAAAGCTTGACGAGCTCGCACGCAAGCAGCAGTCAAATTAGCTGAACTTTTGCGCTGAACCCAGCTTCCACACAGTGCAAATCACTTCTTTTGTGAAAGGTTCTTTATGGAAGAACGTTGTCCTCTGCCGACCTTCAGTCACTGAACATTTAACATCCTGTTGCTTCCTCCTGTCTGTGCTGAGAAAATGTTGCAGGTGTAAAACACTAACAGAACATCAGGAGCTTATAAACTTCCAGAACTGTGGGCTACCAATTACCTGCATTTCAGTTATTAATAACGCTGCATGAGACATGTTCTCAATTTTCATCATTGAACATTCATCATCATTTTCACTAAAACTTATACATGTGGATGAGAGTTGATGACAACAGTTCAGTTTATTCCCCTCCCCAATAACAATTTCCCCTGGGAGATAAAGTTAATATTCCTCTTATATTAATAATAATACTTAAATATTATAGTTTTATAATTGTTAATGTAATATTAAAAACCTACTTAAGTAATTACTAGTGTTGTTAAATTAAATAATCATGATAATCTTGAAACCGTGATTATTCCTCTGACTATAATCGTACCAACAAAATCTGTAATCGTTGCATCCCTACTCAGCACAAGCCAGTCTCTCGTGTTTCAACAGTTTCATTTACCAGTCCTGACCAGCACGCACGCTGTCACCGTGTACACGGACTAAAACTTCTAGTGAAGTTATGGATGTTATATTATGACATGTTAGAACAGTTGCAACATTTTGGTACGTGTGCTTATTCACTTTCTCGCCAAGTGCTGGATGAGAAAAGTAAAGGACTGTCATGTCTATTCACTAAATATGGAGTTAGAGCCAGCAGCCAATTAGCTTTAGATAATATAGATTTATTTATATTTAGCATGCACACTAAAGTGATTTGATCTTCTCAATAAACCCTCAGAAAGAAAGACAATACATGTATTCCCCCAAAAAACTATTTCTTCAAGGTAAATTAACTTTTACGTTAATTGTCAGTTATTAACATAATTTATTTGTATTATTCAACACTATACTACTAAAATGACTATGTAAAAAAGCCTTTGTCCTGAGCATGAACTCAAATCAGTCCCTGCTCGTTCTGTTCTCTCAGACAAAAGTTGATGGCAGATTTCTTTTTTAAATGAAAGTAGAGTCCCAGGCAGAGACTGCAACTTTTTGGCCAATCCTGAGAGCAAGATGTCAGTGGGACTGCAGTCAGTTTGTTGCTGTGCCTTGTCAACTTGCAAAGTTGTAGATACCATGCAGTTCTTGCTGCGACAGTCGTAATGTGGGTAAAACGTTGAGAGTGGATGACAAGTAAACGACCTACTGAAAAATAAGTGGAGTCTGTTCAAAGATGTCAACAGTTTATTAGTCAAGATTCAATTCAGTTACATACTTGTCAGTTTGTGTACTTTGATTGTATTAATAAAGCAAATGGAAATAAGTGATTATTATATTGGTTTTAATGATTAGGTTGTTATGAATGTGGTCATTCATAAAGTAATTCTATGGAACAAAAATTTTATACCCACAAAGATACATTGGGAATTATTATTGTTATGTAATCATAGCACCCTAAATTGTGACAGATTTCCCAGCCCTATCATCAATAGGGATGCAACGATTACAGATTATTGTCAGAGAAATAATCACGGTTTCACGATTATGCATTAATTTTCACTAGTAATAACTTAAGTTGATTTTTAATATTAAATTACATTAACAATTGTGTTTCTATAATATGTAAGTATTATTACTATAAGAGGAATATTAACTTCATTTATTCCCCAGGGGAAACTGTTAATAAGAGGGAAATAAACTGAATTGTTGTCATCAACTCTCATCTAGACATCATTCATGCAGTGTTATTAATAACTGAAATGCAGGTAATTGGTAGCCTACAGTCCTGAAAGTCTAAAAGCTCCTGATGTTATGTAGTGTTTTACACCTGGCAACATTTTTTCAACACAGATGTAACGTTAAATGTTCAGTGACGGAAGGTATTGAAAGGACTATGTTCTTCCATAAAGAACCTTTCAGAAAAGAAGCGATTTGCGCTGGGTTCAGCACAAAAGTACTTCGACTGCGGCATGGCGTGCGGTGCGCGATCCTCTACACAGCAACAAAGTGCCCTAGCGCGGCGCAAGTCGCTGAAATAATGGGCCTCTTTCTGTGCGGTGGGTCTGAAAGGTTACATGCTGCTTTCTTTGTTTACGTTGTACTGAAAGCTCGACTCTCACCGCTACGGCATCGATTGTAAGTGACACGTTCAGGTTTAATTCCCTATACCAACTAAGGTGGGTCTCTGACATTGACAGCTTTGTGTTGGAGAGATTTGTGCAGCGCTGTTCATGAGAGACGGAGAGAGTGAGCGAGAGATGTTGCGCGAATATATACACTGTAGAAACAGTTACACCTTTAGAAGAGCAGTTGATATTCAGTCCTCGTATAATTATTAGTGTGCAATTATCTGATTAATCCTCTGTCAGTACCACAATTTCCACGGACGGTGTTTATACTGTATGTGCAGTCATTATTTAAAAAAGGCCTAACAAAATTAGCCGAGTGTTATATAAAAAAATCTAAACAACACTAACAAGTATGTGAAATATGTTTAACAAAAAGAAAATGAAGAAAGGAAAGAAAATGCTCGCAAAGGAGGTATTGGGTGTGTAATTGCTCTAGTTTTAGTATAGTGAAAATGGTGTAACTGATCCATACAGGCCAGTAACATTGGAAGGTCAAGACAAGTCATTTTAAAACTCCTTTTATTCACCGGCAGTCTTTGTACTCTGCAACTTGGTTTTTATTAGAGCACAGAGTAATAATAAATGACTGTTGCTGTTTTTCACAGGTGAAAGTCTCACTTTCACCTCCACCCCACACACAGTGAAGAGAGGAAGACCAGTGGATAATATGTTTTTGGCAGTAAGGATGCTGTCCATTTAAAACCTGAAACACTTTTCAACTCTCTAACAGTTAACAAATACAGAAGGATGCAGCCTTACCCACACTATATAGTATGAGGTGTTACTTTTTGTATGCTCTTGTTTTTCAGATGGAGGTTCTGACCCCTGCGCTGAGTTAGAGATAAGGAGAACACTGATGGTGAGTTAAATTGCTTTAATTATGAAATATACAAAAACTCCTGCCTTTGTTTCATACTTTAACTCAGTCAAAAGACAAGTAGAGTACTACTTTACTCTTACTGTAAGTGTATGTGTACTTTTGTTTGAGTGTTTGTTTGTAACTCTTTTCTAATTTATGATGGTCAGTGTTGGGCAAGTTACTCAGAAATTATATATATTACTAGTTATTACTCCTTTAAAGTATTACTTTACTTATTACTGGGTGGGCAATATTAGATTGTGGACGATTAAAATGTCTCCACGATCTATCTTTTCAGAGAGATCATTACTGTCGTGCTACAGATCACAATCTATTTAGTTCTGTCTGCGTCCTCTGCTGTCTACTAAGGCAACACAGTAACTGTTGGGCCTCATAAAATAACATTAAAGTTCCCCGTGTCCCCCAGCTACTCTGTCTCAACTCTCTGTGATTTACGGAGGTTGCTGATGAACAGATGTGTTACTTGTTGCTAAAGTAACTGCTAAGTGCCATTAAGTAGCTGCTGTGATCTTATAAGCTCAGTTAGCCTAGTGGTCGTAGCTGACTCAGCCCGGACTGGGAGCTCGCAGCACCTGGGAGTGTTTTGTTTAACGTTACACCTCTACTCAGGCACTGGAGGTTTTAGGCCTCAGCAAGCGGCGCTGGTTTGGGCACCAGAACAGGAGCCAAGCGTGCAACGACACCGCGCTCAGCAGCCTCCCAGTAAACACTGTATGAACGGGACCGAACACAGACTTTGGACAAGTTTGTGCAGCGGTGTTCACGAGAGAGAAAGAGAGCGCGAGCCAGGAGGTGCTGCACGAATATTTGCTCCTCAATACAGCTCCTCGGTCAAACATGATTTTAAATATGCCTAGTAAAAAAATTTTTAAATTAATGTGGTGGTCAGCGTTGACAATTAACCAAATTATAGGCTAATTATGGGAAACACTGCTTTCACTACCACCCTGCCTTTGCCCCCAAACAAAGCATCTCTCCCGAGTTATTAACTAATATCGTATTCACAACAGCGAGTATGCTATGGTCTTTACATACGGTACCGCTGAGCTGCCGCACAGTCGTGGATTCATGTCAAGGATGGTGCGTTTAGTAACGAGTTTTTTAGAAAAGTAACTACACTTCACTTTACAATTACACTACTAGTTACAGGGAAAAGTAATATTATTACAGTAAAGCGTTACTGCCCAACACTGATGATGGTAAATATTAAATGTGTTTTTGTGACCTTTAACAATTAACCTTTTTTGTCCCATGGTAAGAGAGTTGCAATCATCTGTCAGTTCTTGGTTGTCACATTTAATTAAAGCACTTGAATACACATGAGCATTTTTTAAAAAATCCATTATACCTGAGGTTTCATCGACTAATAGGAAATGATGTTTGTCTGTTCCTGTTGTAGATGAGACCCCCAGGCTTCCACAGAAGAACAAAGTCAAACATGAGAGAGCAAGAGAGCATGGAGTGAGGTAGAGAGAACTGCGATGTAGAGTGCCTGGAAAAAAGGACTGTGAGCAATGTATACATGGAGAAAAGGCCTTGGCTCAAGGGTCATGGAAAGATGTCAAACTTTGTGTACAACACAATTGTGACCCTTAGACAAAGCGGCGCTTCACGTATTCTTAAGATTCAAAAGCCAAATGTTTTTGCCATTTACAGTCTCCTACTGAACTACTGATTGATAATAATCTGAAATTAATCTATCCTGGACCATATAGTGTCAGATGATGTACTGTAAAAGGCAAGACTAGCCACAATAAGCTAGTGTTCAGCGTTCCTAAAACTCAAAACCAGTTGTAAAAAATTCAAAGGATTATTTTGTTTTCATTGTACTTTGCAAGACAGTGTTCCTTGTTTCAATTGATTGTCTGATAATATCAATTTTCTTCATATTGGCCCTCACTTTAATTGGTGAATTAATAGTAGTTATGATACAGTACACTTTACTGTATTTTTTGAGTTGTACAAGAGGCAATAGTTTTTTCTGGAATAATTTATTTCTGTTTATGCTTAATAAACAATGGATTTGGGGGTGGTGATAGCGCACTTCAATCCCCCACTGTGACCATCCACTGTGTCCCTGAGTAAGACACTTAACCCTAGTTGCTCCAGAGGCGTGCGACCTCCGACCTCCGACATGTATAGCAATTGTAAGTCACTTTGGATAAAAGCTTCAGCTAAATGAATAATAAAATGGATTTCTTTTATATCCCTGCAGCTTTGTTGAAAGTTGTATATGTGGATTGCTCAAGTTATATTTACTTTAGTAAAGCAGTAATTGACCAGTAAGTATGTATGTTTGTACAGCAGTCAAATCGATGGTCACCTCCATAAATTTAGGTATTCTGCTTATCTATGAATCTCAGACTGGGCAATTCTTTTTAAAAATGCCATACTGACTTATTTTTACATAATGTGTTATACTAGAACATTAAAATTATTAAATTTAATGCTAAAATAGAAGGTAGTTAAACTAGTCCATTCTGAAACGAACTCAATAGCCCCCCTTGAAAAGGTCCCCACTCCAGTGGTAAACTGGGTTAAAAAAATTAAAATTTCCTTCATGTTTTTAAGGAACTGAGGTGGAAACTGGCATCAAGGTGCCACCCAGTGTTGGAATCTATCATGCATTTGTCTCTAAGTAGTAGAAAGGGTGGTCCTCACTCCAGCAGTTAATTAACCTGGACCTCACTATGAGGCACGTACAGGAATGTGTGTGTGTGTGTGGTGTGTGTGTGTGTGTGT